CCGCACGCGCACATACAGACTAGAAAACACGCAATCAGAAAGAGAGAAGGCGGAACTTAAGGCAGAATAATCAGAGAGTTAAACCAAGCAGCACAGTTGATGCGCTGCTATGTGAAAGGGACAGGAAAGAGCAGGCAGCTGCAGCTACCAGGCAGAGAATCTGCGAGAGGAAAAGAAACGGCTGCTGTATAGTAAATTATATGTTGTTCACATCCAATTATTGGTAGGGACAAATAGGTCCTTCCAAAATTTTGGTAGGGACATGTCCCTATGGTCCCTATGCAAACCTACGCCCATGGGCTCTGTTAAGATACATTGGAAATAAAGTTGTGGGGTTTTGAATACTCACCACAAAAGGACACAATATGACTGCTGTCTTCATGAACAAATTTCCTGGTGACAGCTTCCTCCATAATCTGCTTCACCTGTCAATGAAAGAGGAGACGCTGGATGACTCATTCATTACGATGTCACATTAAGCACGAACAGACTGAGAGGGGCTTTTAGGTCAGGATGTGACTGAGTGACAAATACGCTTCAGCTGAGGGAATAAACGGGAGAATTCATGAATGTAAAAGGAGTCAGCCTTAAAAGTTAAGAGCAGGAAAAACTATCAGCAGTTGTTTAGCTGCTGGATGAGTCACCAGCTCTTGTTCTAAGGACCACTGGGAAATGCAGATTCATTTGGTGCTAGAGAAGGGCAGTTCATACATCACAGACCCCATTTCTGAGCAATTACCATCCCTCTGCAGGAACAGACCATTCTGTAGCAGATTCAAATGCAGATAAGATCTTCATCATTTCTATTACAAAAAGAGGATGTACATCATATATACGGGCCTACGAGGAAACACTCATTAGTTTGGCTATGTTCTGACTCCTGTTCTGCCACGCACCAAGAGTTAAGACGACCGGTGAATCAGCCCCTGTGGTGACTATGGAGATGGCCCCTGTGTGGGCACTGCTCTGCAGTCTGATTGGGGAATATCAACCTTCAGACACGGCCAAGCAGATAGCTGAGCAGCAATTTCCGGCTGAAATTATTCTGTCCACAAAAAAAACGCATTACACTGCCAGGGCCATCATCAGCAAACACAAACACTCTTTCTACATGCTGGACATGCACATGACATGAGGACATAAGATGCTTCATCAACCCCGGTTAGCCCTATAAACAAAAAATAAACAGAAAAATAACTTGAATTGGAAAAATAATTAATAAATATCAAAAACAAGGCTTTTGTTATCTTTTGGGTTTTAAATTAAAATGTTCTACAGTTTCATGCTGGTGCAGACAAAAAAAGCTGAGCTAAATGTGTGCAGTCAGCCAACAGGAACACTTCAACACTCTCCTGACAAATGGTACTCCATGATTCAGTCATAATAGGTCTATCAGCAAAAGGAGGCCAAGTGGAGCATTTAGATCATAAACATTGTACTCTGAGTTAATGTGTCGTTACAGCTTCTTATCGTTATGCAAAAAAATGTTTTTAGCAGTCTATTTGGGCACATTCGAAACAGAATTGGTAAAATTAGAAAATACTATAATTACCTAGATGAGTCTGGCAGAAAAAAATACAATAACAGTGAAAAAGTATTTATACATCTTGAACATGTTTATTTTTTGTGAATTCTGGACTTCAAGTTAGACCATAAAATAGACTATGGCTGAGTGAAAAAAAAAAAAAAAAACAATGCTCACAATTAGTAAACAGGGGCTTCATGTGTGTTTCAGCTCCTCCTCATCATTGGACAATCCCCCTCACTGTCAATTTATGAAACTTGTCTTAAAACCTTTTTTCATTCTTTGGCTCTCTCTGGCTTTGTGGTTTGTTTTGGTGGTTGTTTTTCATTTGGTTTTACTTTATTTAATTTAGGTTTATGTTACTTGTTTTATTCTTTTAAAGTATTTGGTTGTTTTTATTTTATTTCCTTGGTATGTACAGCACTTTGTGGCAGTTGGGGTTGTTTTAAAGGTGTCTATAAATAAAGTTGAGTTGAGTGTAATTTCATCTTAGTATAAATCCTGTTGTTCAGTGAAAGCCTCAGAAGTTTGCAATCTAAATTTGAAGCAAAGTTAGATAATTAAGTGATATCCCAAGCTTTAAACAACCATTGTAACCATTGGTAACTCTATGTGAAGATTCACAGCTCAGATGTGAAATCAGGTGGCTATTAGTTGTGCTGTCAAGAAAACTGGTCTTTATGGACGAGTTGAAAGAAGAAACCTACAATCCCATGTATAGTCTGTCATAGACAAAACATGACCTAAATGCAAAAAAAAGTTATGCATGGTTGAAAACTAATGGTGCATATTTCCCTAAAAAAAAAAAACGCCATTAGCAGATTGAACAAGCAGGTGGTAGCATCCCATGTTGAAAATGACTTTCTTTGAAAGGGACAGCGAAGCAATATGGTGTTGATTGAAGATAGATAGAGCTAAATGCTTTAGATCAAATCATTTTAACGTGCTTGAATGGCCCAGGTAAAGTCCACATACTGGATACATCTAAAAGAAAAATATTTTTTACAGAGCTCTCTATTCATTTTTTTTTTGCCTTCAGGTATTTTCAAGGCACAGGAAGAAAAAAAACAACCTAGATTTCTAAATCTAGGAGACATACCCCCAAATGGTTTGTGGATGTAACTGTACATATTAAGTTAACTTAATAGAAATGTACACCACAACTTTCAGATGTTAACTGCCAAATGGTTTGCAGTCATATATTTCCACTAGATGTCATACAGAAACTGTAATTGGTAGGACTGCCCTCTATGTGACGGTATATTGCATATTATGAACATCTCTGAGAACTCTATTCTATGTTTCTTAAATGAATTAAATAAATTAGTCTATTAGCGCAAACTTCAACATTTGATTAACTCAATAACCTAGCGTTAAATATATCTATACTTTAAATTTTTATTATTTTAATATCAGACAAAGAAAAACATTTAAATCTAGAAATATGGACATGATAAAATTTGGTTTTAAACCTGATTAAAGGTTAATAGTTTGAAAAAGGACTTTTAATCCGACGAATGAGCCATATGAGGACACATTCTATTTCCCTTATGTTTAACTAGAATGTATATTGTGAATACTTGAATACCAAAAATAACAATTAAACTCATTAAACTGATTATACAATTATATAAAATGTAGATTGTAAAGAGTTATGTCGCATTATTATATTTCACAGTGTAATGAAGTCAAAACTTAACTGAATAAATCCATAGCTAGGTTTAGGGATCCAATATATGCTATCAAACAAATGATCAAATAAAACAAAAGCACCATCTCCCATTTCACGGCCAATGAGAGAAACTAATGTCTACTTTATAACACCACTGCAAACCAAGCGTGGCTCAAACTGCACTCCTTAAAAACATTCACTTATTCAAACGACAGTGACTAATTGGAGTGCAGTCATTGGACACAAACAGTGCCATTGTTTATTTCAGCTGCAACAGATATGATTCATGCAGCCAACACAACAGAGACAGCAGCAGTCTGATGAGACGCCCCTCCGCTTCAACTCATGAATATAGTGCTAAAAAAAGAATAAACTCACACACACACACACACAATGATGTCGTACGCAGGGGACTTGGTTCCTTTGGCTTTCTTTCCTGACTACACCTTAAAAGAAAGTTGATTGATTTGCTCACTTGTGTTCCCCTCATACTTATCTAAGCTACTGATCTGCTCTCTGAGGAATAAGTCTCCTAAACAGTCTGTGTGCTGGCAACCTGAGAGTTTCTATGGAGATGTCACGAGTCTCAAAGCGAAACTCTTCATCCAAAAAGATGCATGGAAAAACACAACTAATTCATCTCTGACAAAAATACGAAAGACAGCAGCTTCATAACATGAATTCATCTGCAAGGCAGAAATCTTTACAGCTAAGAGAAATCTGTTGCAGCAAAGCTGAATGAATCTGCTCTAGCTACTCAAAGTCTTAAAGCCAGAGGCTCTACTGATAAAAGATCTACTGAGCACTTCAATTACATCCTGCAACAGCAAGAAATAACAGCCAGAAAGAAAAACTAATTTACTAACATCCACCCTCCATAATTCATCGTCTTTATGCTCAGTGAAGAACGAAGGAAGCAAGTAATGGAAAAAAAACAAAAAGCAAAGTCACGACTGTTTCTTATGTAAAAGTGATGCATCGCTCTGCCAGGATGTTTTTTATTGCACATAGTGGTCTGAACTTTATAATTTTGTAACCAAGGCTGGTCTTCACAGACCAGACAGTTCGTCATCTCAACATCAGGACAAAGCATTGAGATTTTCTCTCAATGAAGCAGAAAATCCTGTTTTATCTGTTATAACATTTCTTGTTATAAATATATTTAACGATGGGTCAAAAACGGCATTGCAATCTCTATCTGTGGATGCGATGGTAGTAATGTTAAACACTTTCCCTGAGCAAATTCCCGTGGAATAAATGAATCAACCCTGCATTTAAACTGTCCATCAATACACCTCAGGGAAATAGGAAAATCTCTTCAAGCAAGGAATTAAAACAGTTCACAGGGAGCAGGAAAGTAAAGGTTCCTGCTCTCTTTCACTCACTCCTTTAGCAAACACAGGTGCGCATTTGTGTTTGTTCGTTAAAGCATGGTATATGGAAAAGGCAGAGCACGACACAGTGACACTATACTAAAACCAAGGCAAATAGAAGCTCTTATTCAGACTAATTTTCTGCCAGGAAGGTAATTCTGCTGTCACAGACAGGCTCGGCTCTCTGGATAATGGCCCACATCCAGGTATGTCTGAGCAGCCTGGTGGCATAAAACCAGCTGGATGGGGGCAGAGCGTAAACAGTCAGCATAGAGACACCATATGGCACAGCCCACACAAACCAATATAACTCATAAACATAAACCAATAGAGGAATGCATACATCAGTTTATAAATAAATTAACATCATATATTTCAGTGAATATCAACCATCAATTTGCTCAACTTTATTTGAGCTGGTTTTGTTATAAAATAGAATACTGTTTCAATAAGTATAAGAAATTTTAGTTAAGCTTTAGGGTGCCTACAAAGTAAAAGTGGCAAAAAAATGTTTCCTCTTTAGACAATTATTATCAATATTCTACCTAATCTGAAACAGCTACCACTACAGGATGTTTAACATAAATTTTGTTTTAAGTTGCCATTTAAAAAAAAAACAAAATACAGTCTATGTAAGTACATAAAGGTTTCCTGTGTTCCTAAATGCTAGCACATAAACTCCTCGTGCCATGGTAGCTTTAGCACAAACCAAACGATTTTTAATAATAGCGTTTCACTTAAAAACATGACACCTGGCTGTTGATTTTAAGCACTGTTAAATGACTGTTAACATGTAGAGTTTTCAGATAAATAATTTTTAAAGATTAACCAAAATATATGTAAAGACAGAACAAGATGCTGCATGCATGACAGAAAGAGTAGCTAGTTAAACGGCTATTGTGAGTTGCTAATGTGTGGGAAAAAAACAATTACATTTTAAACTTAATGACCAAAATTTAGACCTAAAATACTAATGGTACTTTTAGTGCCATTTATTTATAGAAATTCAATGTAATTAGATAATTTATTTTATTGGGTATTCATAAGCCTATAGCTTTAAGCCAGAATTACTTAGAGCTAATATGGGGGGTCCAAAGGGCCACTTTCCTCTGGATCCACAGTTTGCATAAACCTAAACTGGATTAAAGGAGTCTGTAGAGAGCATGGACAATCTACCATAAGGTAGTTATGATGTGATAACCATTAGTATAAATATTTACAGCTGGATTTACATTACAATTGTAAGTTGAAGTGTAACACTATAAATTTACAGTATTCTGCAAAATACATCAACTCAGAGATGGTAAAGTAAAAAATAAAGTACATTGATAATGGAAGTTAAGCTGAGTAATGTCACTATGATATGAAAATACATTTTTTGATTGTAGTTTTTTATGAAGTACACTTTGCAGTAATTTGCAGGTATGGCATCTTTGGTGAGAACTCTTGATAAACTGTGAACCACTTTTGGCAGGACATGAGATATAATTGAACTGTAACCATATAACCCCGGGAGAAAAAAAAAGAAAAGAAAGAAGTTCTCCATTAGTAAAGCTGAATGTTCCTTATAAGGATTAGAACTAAATGCCAATCCTTTTCTCAATAGCAAAGTGTCCAAAATCAAACCATCTCTTTTCTACCATTCATCTGTCAGGGACACAGGGGCTGGTGCCTATCTCCTGCAGTTTATATGCAAAAGGTGGGTTACACCCAGATAAGGTTGCCAGTTTATCAGAGAACAAGACAGATGTATACACACTTAAGGGAAACTTGGAGACACCAATCAACCTACAGTAACATTCATGTTTTTAGACTATTGGAGGAAGTCAGAGTGCCCAGAGAGAGCCCAGGTACTGTATGCACAAGGAGAAAATGTAGATAGACTTTTGGCCAGGGATTGAACACAGGACCGTCGTGCTGTAAGGGAAAATGCTCCACTGTGCAGCCCGTGTCCAAAATCCAAAACCTAAATGACTAAATTCAGCAAAACTGGACAAGCTGAAGTATTTCAAATTAGAGTTTACAAACTCTGCTTTATGATTATATCTCCATTATGCTCCCAACTTTAATTGGTGGTGGGGACAATGTAAAGATGGAAAATAGGCAGAGTAATGAGGAAAGGGGTTTATCATAATCAAAACTTCTTATCATAACATTCAAGATTTCTTTCCCCAGCACCTTTTTTATCTCATAATGTGCAGACTTACTGAGCTTTTAAAATAAACCACTAAGATGTCGGTTAATCTATTGATTTGATCAGTCTGCAAAAGGATTTAGAAGCATGTTAACAAAGCAAGAGAGTAAGAAGTGAAGTAAGCTACTGTGGGTAAAGTTGTCAAATCAGAAGAAGGGTCTGGTATCCACAGATAAGACTGCAAATGTGACGCAAAGGAAGGAAATTCAGATGAAAGCCTTTCTATTTCTATAGCAATAAGTCTTTTTTACGTTTTTATTTGAAAAAAAAAATATTCATCAGTGTATGAAGCAGAAAAAATACAGTTAAAAAAACATTTTAGCAAAGGAATGGTGTAATACAGGTTTGAATGTTTTCCTTTCACTTAATGGAAACCATTTCCCTAGGATTAAAAACAATCCCGGCTGGACAGAGTAGATAAAGTTGGGGAGCTCCAAGGAAGCATTGGTGGTTTTTGGAATATTTTTGATACTTGAATATTAATGTTCTGTTTATATGTTATGAACAATCAAATCATCAAAAATAAATAAACAAATAAATAGAAGGCTTTCTTAAATTTTGAATTGCAAACACAGACTGAACGTAGCAGCTGCACCTACATGTAAAGAACATAGTGAAAATCCTTTGAACACAATTATTTTTGAAGTTCTATGACAGCAATATTCCAAGTAACAGCCTAAGGTATTTATTGGTGAATATCTGTGCTCAAAGGTATTGAACAGCACAATATTGTAACTTGTCGTTGGCTCTATAACAGTCAGACCATCTCACTGATTAAAGCCTAAATCTGTCTGTGATCCGAGTTCTGACTGAAATGAGTCAGGCTCATGTTTCATACCATGTCTATGTGTGAATTACCTAGCTTTAATTCAGCTTGTTCCATACAGCTGGTATTGATTAGGATTTTCTCATATCAGCATTCTTTTCTATTATAACTCTGAAATGTTGTTAGACTATTTGTTTATCATTTTCCCTTTAAGATCCAAGGTTTCACTGAGGCCTGGATGTAAGACAGCATAATTGATCACTAAACAGGCTTTTGAAATTTCTAGACAGCATAATTGATCACTAAACAGGCTTTTGAAATTTCTAACACCTAATTCCGTCAATAAATTCCAAAACTAAATATATGAATCTAAAAAAAAAAGTGAAAAGAGCTCTAATAAATGTATATTTTTATGATAAAACATATAGAAAACATATAGAAAAACAATATATCACCAAAAATTGCAAGACCTCAACCATGTGTCTTAAACATGAATCAGTGTAACTTTTACTAGTTGTGCCAATAAGGCTAATTTGTAAAACAACAAACTTTATGGCCACATTAGCTTCCTGTGAATTGCATAATTAACTAGTTAAAAAATATCAAAATCTAAGCAAACAATGTTAGATCTATTAATATGAGATTCACATTGTATGATAACTTTGACTAGAATAACAATACCATGATTTTTCTCTAGGAAATGTAAAAAAATAATAAAGTAAACTTCTTTTAATTGCTTCAGGAAAAGAGTAATGAATCATCTTATTGCAAAATTTCTGTCATTTATAACATTTGTGTTTTCTTTTATATATAGGCCAAAGCAAAATCATAATAATAAACTCCCAATGGTCCAGTGGTAGTGTTCAAGAAAATGTTCCTTTTGTGCAGAGAAGTTAACAGATTACATTACATGCTACTTGGTATTAGCTAACTTAAATTTTAAGCAGTTATATCTTAAAAAAAAAAAAATTATTATCATTGCTTCTGGGGTTTTATTGTTTGTTTAGTTTTTACCTGAGTACCACACAATGTAGCCTTCTTGCAGCCAGTCGATCAGCAGTGCACAGCAATAAGTGAATAAGATGACCTTCTGCTACTCATTCTTTAAACCATCAGTGAAAAACCCACTGCAGGACTTTCTCTAACTTCAAATATACAATACAATTTGTTGGAAATCTGCAAAAAATTTTAAACCATGACATTAAAAAAAACCTTGGAATGTCAGGATATCAGTAAATTGCCTAATAGAAAGAGAGGGGTTTGTACTAATGGTAGTTTTTACTAGCAGGTTACAATTCAAATAATTGAACACTTCCACCCTTCACATTAAGAAAAACCTCCAGGTCTCCCTGTATGAGGGATAACACAAAGGAGATTCAATGAAAGGCTTTTTCAGTTGCTTTGAAACAGCTTTGATCTCTCAGTCTGTGCTGCAGGTGTGTTAAAAATAAAGGAAAACAATAAAGACAGAAATTAGATGATTCAGTGCATGAACCTCTCCTTAAACTAGGCTATTTCTGATGCAGTTGAATCAAGCCATTTTCCCATTTTTCTTTGATTTGAAAAAATGACTAAGGAAAAGTTATTTACACCAAAAATATGCACAGTTCCTTAATGGATTGTCGAGGTATTCCTGCAAAAACTGATCTAATATTTGCATGATAACACACGAGAATAACACTCCAATCATTTGCAAGGGTTACTAATGTATCACAAACTATTATCTAAATGTCAGATTGGCTGAATAATCCCAATGCTTCTGTTTCTTAATTTTTTAAGGAAAAATCCCAGACCATCAAATCATTACAGCTGTGTCAATGTTTGCTTTTACCGACCGCAGTAAAATAAATTACAGGCATCTTTTCTTCTCTCACACACACACACATACGCATGATTGCATGCAAATATAAGCAACAAATGATCTCTCAGTAGCCTAATGACCTCCTCTGCTGCCAGAGACAATAATCAGTTTTCTTTGTTCAGCTTCTCCCATCTTAGCTGCATCAAACTCACGTATTCCATTCATAGTCAATGGATTGTATCTTATGAATAAAATATAACATTTTATTTTATTTCTATTTTTAAACAGATGTTTTAGGTAAGTATAGGCTAGTAACAGACAGATATCAGAGGAGGTGCCCAAGCAGAAGTGTGAGCCATGAGTTTGTCACATTCTCAGCTAAAGTTTGAATGAGTTAAATTAAGCCTCTTATTGTACAGTTTTTGATTCTCCTGCTGATGTGAAAACACCCACCTCCTTTTTTACGGTGCGCAGCAGCTTCTGGCGAGTCTCTGCTTCTAAAAACACAACAAAGAAAGCACATAGGATTTATGTTTTTGTATTTCGATAGAGCAGCATATGCCCATGCATTAAAAGCAATCTATTTATGCTTTCCATGTATAAATGTAGATGTTTTTTTTCCCCCACCTGCCATGATTGTTGCCATGGATCCTGCCTCCTGTCTGAGCGCAGCGCCTCTCTCCCTGTAGCTGCGTGGAAACCCTGATGGAGCTCCTCCTCCGCTGCGCGCACGCCTCTTATGGACACATGCAGCGCCTCCATTGGCTGCTGCTCTCACATTCAGTTTAACGGTGAGAAAGATCAACTTTGGAGCTTTACAGTCTGTGCATTTAGTGGCCTTTGTGTGCCTATCAAAAGTACCACTTTTCAATAAGAAAATTAGTATTAGAGTGTTTAATCCGCTAAAATCATTGATTTTTTTTGTTGTTGTTGTTGTTTTTTTATATTGAGTAAAACTTGTTTGTTTTTTCATACAGAGGCGTAGCCAGAAATTCTTTATAAGGGTGGCCAGGTAATAACCAATGTGTACTGAGGGCTGGCCGAAAGCGGATAGGCACCAGAACCTCACGGTCAATCTACACTGTTCCAACAGGAAAATTAACGAGCAAAATATCCATATTTTCGAAATAAACTCTAACTATACTTTCGTACAGCCTTTGCTAACAAATAGACCCATATATTTAAACATCCATAATTTCTAGATAAAAGGTATAGTGGATTAAACTCAGTTTTGAGTTCTGGGGCATAAATCAATCATCATTGTCATTACTTACCTACTTTTATCAATAAACATTCTGCATAAAATGGATATTTACAACACTAATATCTACGTAAATTGATTCTTTGATTTTTTTTTATTTAAATTTTATTTATCTTTGATTTTACTTAAGAATCCTAGATGACTTGCAGAGGCACATTATCTCTTTATCCCATATAACACAAAATCTAGCTCTGAAAAGAGCATGAATTCTGTACTTATCATCTTTAATGTTAGTATAATGATGTATATAATTAACCACAAAAAATTTTAATATTTTGAATATTCCACTTGAGAGTATTACTGCTGCCACCATCTGTATTAGAGGGGGGAAAATGGCAGGGGTGGCCACAGGGGTGGCCAATGATTGGCTAAGGGTTATTATTAATACAATTTCTACATTCATTTGAAATATTTCCGGGGAACGGTATTCACTGCTAGATTCTTTTAAATATATTTCATGTTAATGTGCTTGAATAACTCTCTATTAGGTGTTACATACTGTAGCGCTCAAATGCAGTAAACTAAATCTGAATACCGTATTATGGTAATCAGTAAAGAAAGTTAAAGTAGGCTACTTATGAGACTTTTCTTTTCACAGTTTTAAACATGTGGATTGAACTAAAAATGTTTAGGAATCAAAGCTCTCATCTCTCATTTTTGGAAATCAAACTATATGGCTGATATTTTTCTATCAATGGCAGGTTATCAGTTCATCAGTAAATTAAACTTAAAGTATGGTCTACATAGGCTGTATGTTAATATTGTATGAATATCTAACCCATTGATAACTTCTACAAGTCATGTACTCCATAACGTATTTCTACACCTAATAAGGCTGAGTTTTGTGTTTCTTTCTAAAATTGTTGGTGCCATCTTGTGGTCAATTTGAGAAAAACCAGTCATAAGGCTCAAAAATGATGTTAAATAAATTATTAATGTCCAATCAGTGCAATCAATCACTTATTGTAGTTTGAAAAAAACCCTGCTTTAATTATTTGCAGAATTTTAGCTATAAACACTTTTAAAAAAGTATATGTCTAAAGAAATAGTAGCCTTTGATGCCAAAGCTAAATGCTCTAACTTATTTAAAGGGATCTTTGTAGCCTTAAAAGATAAATAAAAGATGCTATATAGTCTAGCTCTATCTTCATTGAGACAAATCAAGGGGCTGTTTGTTATTTCAGATGAGGCTCCTATCTCTTATTATAAATACAATAAAATACAATACAATTAATTTTATATAATAGCATGAAAAATAAAGTAAAATAACCTAATATTACAAAATCTTTACGTAGAACATACCAATAAAACAATATATTCTGTTTTCTCTATTACTATGCAAACACTAAACTCAAATTAATCTTGTTCACAATGCTTATGGTGATGTTTTTTGGTACTTAGATACACTTTCTCTAACCCTTCTCTAAGACCACCAAAAGATCAGTTACTGGTTGTGATGAAATTTATCATCCACTTTGTGAAAAGGTTTGTGCTCATTACTCAAAAAAAGAATTTGAGCAAAAAAGCTTGTTTTTGTTGTCACAGTGATATCCAGAAGGTGGCAACAGCCTCATATAAACTCTCATGCCAAATCCATAAACACATACCTGACAATCAGCATAGTTTGCATATCTTTTACTGAGCAGCTATCACATCTGTATCTGCAGCATAAATGTGTGAGCATTTTTAGTAAGTACTATCTCAGTGAGAATCTGAGCCAGAAAAGCTGCTATAAGCTCCAGCGAACTCTAGTGTGATGTCTTGGGGTGAGCAGTCCAGTTCTGCCTGCAGGTCTGAGCTGTCAAGTGAATCAGGTGGTGAAAAGACAGAGGGATACCGCAACATGACAGACTGAGCGCAGTGAGGTCGGAGCCCTTTTTTCCTCTTTTAACCTAGTGATAATCTTTAACCTAAAATTCCCTCTTTGGGAGGACAAACACTGGCTTTAGATATTTGGGGGTTTTGGTTTTACTTTGTAGAAATGCCGTAGCAGGACTTTTGATAAACAAGGAAGGGAGACTGCTAATGCACTGACTAGTGAAACAAGATATATCAACATCTTGAAAGTGTTTATGTGCACATAGTACCTCAGTATATTTCTTTTAAAAAACAGTGTAGGAATCAGGTTTTCCATCCAGCTGCAATCCACCTCCACCACCTTAACTGCCCTGGTCTATGTCCCTCCTCAGGTCTGTTCCTCTTTAATCATTCAGTCCACCACCGGTGTTCAGTGGAGGACATCTCCATTCTAATCCGCCCATTCTGTCATCATTAGCAGCAATGCTCAGCTGTCAGCTGCTAGGGCCTGAGCACCAAAACTGCTGATACTAATTCATGTCAATAAACTCCTTGTCTCCCTCTAAGTCTCACCAGGTTAAAATCTGACTGACTTTATCAAACAACAACTGAAAAAATGGACATGAGAGAAAAGGAATTAAAAAATAAAATAAAATAAAAACAATTTCTAGTGAGAAACAAATGAAGACCCCCCCACACATCTATTCCAAATTAAAATGACAAAAGCAACACAGACTTTCCTCATCAGGACCCCACAATATTAACACTGCTACTTAGTATTGATTGCACAGTAAAATCCAACAGTTGTCCAGACTTACTACATATTGGTTGTCTTTGCTTGGTTAGCAACAATACATTATTATAACTTTTATTTGTGAAGTAATGGTCACTTGCATTTTGAAAAAAAAAATGATACCTATAATTTAAAATGAACATTCCTTTATTTAGAATTAAGCTAACTACAACAATAAGTCACTCCCACTGCATTCCAATTTTGGCCGTAGTGCATTCATAAAAGTTGTTCGCTAACCGTTGACAAATCTGATTATGTGTCATTAAAGTTATTAAAAAGAATTTAAAAAAATAAAACATTAACTATTCTTAATTGTTATTCAGAACACTGGAGAAGATTGTAACCTGTTTTTGATTTATGTATAGATATTTGAGACATTTCACACTTGTTTTTTTAGGTGCAAATGGTTTGCATGGTTTTAGTACGTAAATCAAATTTCTCGTCAAGGATATATAACCAAGAAATGCTGTCTTGTTGTTGCGTATGGGTCTGTTAAAGGGTTGAAATAATTCTGAAAATAACTGAAATCAGTATGGAAAAATTACTTACAAATATATTAAAAACAACGACCAACATGACATGGTCTGGCTCTCTAAGCGACTTCATTCTCAAAGCTGAAAGTAAGTTGTTAATACATTTCCTGAACTTCTAAAATATCAGAATGGGACCTGCTGTAGGCTCTATCTCCTATTAAAACTGTCCTATTTTCCAAGAGTTTCTTTTTTGTTTTTGTTTATTTAGCTTAAAAATAATTCAAGAAATATTCAGTTGTTAAATTTGCAATTAATGTTTTTCTAAATAAGTTAGTCCCTTTGTGTTTTTACACAAAGTGTTTGTGTTTGTGTGATTAATTTCATAGAAATGTTTTGTAACATTAAATTTTATCTACATTATCTTAAAATTACTTTTACCATGGTTGTTGTACTTACATCCTATCCTGATTGTGAATTATCTTTCCCGTTCTTACCTACTACAGGGACTGCAGGGGGGATTTAGCTGAGAAACAAGACTCAGTTTGAGTGCAACATTACTTGATCAGCTTGTGAACTGAATATTAAAATATTGCACCTGGGTGAATTGAGTTAACAAAGGAGCAGACAGACCGCACCCACATCTTGTCTGCTCTGTTCCAAATTAACAGGGATGTGCAAAACTTTACTCTATGACACACAGCAGAAGATCTCATAAACAACCCGAACGAGGAGACAGGGAGATAAACCCAGTCTTTGGGAACAGAAAGGAGGCCAGCTTGCTGCTGATGCTGAGAGAAACAAAACAAACTCCTCTTAAAAATGCCCTTAATAAGAACCAAATCTTTAGGGGTGATATAAACACAAAGGACATACAAATAAAAACATGTGATAGCCAGATGACAGTGTTTAAGATGCTTACCTGAATCATGATAAAAAGTTAGATCAGCCAAACTAAATGTTAACTAAAGAACAGGATAATAAAACTAACATTTCAGCTAACACAATTAACTAAACTAAACTCTCCATTAATGAATGTAAAAACCCAGGTACTGTACTCACAAGCCAAAGGTTTGTCAAACTGACACACAGTAGAACATTATCTGTGATAAAGAAAAGCCAACACTTGATGTTTGCATGAAATTATAAATATTACAATAATAAACATTACTGTATTTATAAGGAGAAACGGTCTCTGTAAATAAATGAAAGTTACCATTACCTGGGCAGTAAGATTTCAGAACTGTCCAACCTGTCAGTGAGCAGTGCATAAGGGTAGGGGTCAACGTGCACCTGTCCGTGTGTGATTAGAATAGACGGGCTCCTACAGGCAGCAGGGCGTATGATACAAGCCCCTGTCAATCTGATGTTCTTCTGGTCGTGTATGCCAACACAGACTGACAAGAGAGTGTGTTTCAGGAAACCAGGGACACCAGCTTTAGAGTTAAAGTGTTATGATGCTATGGGCCTTCAGGGTGCCCCATTCTGGCTGCACAACAAGTTTGGTTTTTATGTCATCTGTTGTTTACTTACCTCTGCAGATGGGTGAATTCCTATTAACTTTTTTCTTTGATGCTTGTGAGTTGTTATTAAAATGTGATTATTAGGAGTATATACTAGCCATCTGCACCTTTTCATAAATTGTAATATAAAAGCTTTAGTCATGTGACATCCAGTCCAGACAGTTTGGCTACAACTGGGCCTTTTACGTGACAATTTCCAGATGATGCTGGATGCCTCTGCCCGTATCTCATACTGCGTCATATCCATTTTCCCTCAGTTACTTCCTGCTCACCTATGATTTCTGATGCCACTGTATCCAGATAGTAGTCTTTTAGTCTATGCAGAGCTGAAAGGGTTGGATATGATAGAGTCATTTTATTAGGTTTTCTAGATGAGCGCACTTAAACTGCTCGGATATGACAGCAGTGTTTTCAGCAAACTATATTAATAAATCAGATCAGGAGGACAAGGTAGTTTAAGGATCTATCACCGGTCCACTTATTTTAAATATAGTCATCCTCTTTCTTTTCACTTAACTTTTTAATACATCTAATTTTTGCCTTTTTTGTGACCTATCTGTTTGAAATGTATCAGTTGATTTTCATTTCAGCATTTGAAACTTCTGCCAAGAAGTCAATAAATACTATGATAAAAACTTTGTTAGATATGATTTTTTTCTTAAGTAAAAAGAAAATTGTTTTTGTTTATATGTGAAAATTAAAAATCACTTTCTTATTTCTAAAAGTCTTCAATAAAATTCAGTGCAACCAACTCAAACAACTCAGAACTCATGTAGTAGGTAAACAGAGATTTTAATGATATCATGAAGTAATGATAGTATCCTAACTAATGCAGGCCCAATAGGTTTGCTGGACAATGATCAAGATTCACTCCAGGTATTGGGTTGTTGAGACCTTTAGTGTAGGGTGAGATTATAAAACATTATCCCAGGCTATGTATATCTTACAGGTTAATCTAAGCTAAAAATGTGTGCAAGATAAAGTTTGCGCACATTGCACAAGCAGAAAAATCTGCTGCAAGGACAAAATAGTTGAAGACCAACAGAAATTTGGATAAATGGCAGGAAAAAGGTTATCCTTGAAAGACAGGTAGTTCATTTTTCAATTTGCCAAAAAACTTCTTTCAGGTAAGAGCAGTGTTGAGCTCTAGTTAAATTGTGTGGTAGGAAACACACTTTACGCATGACCCTGAAAATGCCTTCCCCACAGTGACATATGGTCGTTAAATTCATTAAGCTTAGGAGATACTTTTCTTCTGCAATGACATGGAAACTGATTACAATTAATGGAGACAAAGATTGAAAACAACACAGGAAGGTATTGGATGAAAAAGCTGATGCAAAACACATGTGACTCTGTTGGAGGTTTACTACCAACGTGACAAAAACCCTAATATCTACTCAGCTGATAATTTTTTTTAGCTTGAAATTTGTTGTTTGCAGTGAGACTAGTTTCATAAAGGTGATTTCATATAGTATTGAATCAGGGGACCTATTTCAAACCATAATTTCTGTCCTTTTAACAGCCTATATATAGACAATCAAAATAAAGGTAAAACTGATGTAGTTTTACTTTTGCTTTTTTGAACAGCACTTAAAAATAATAGAATAAGCAGAGTTCAAGCATTAGGTAATTTCAGCAGGTTATTTAGATAACTTAAGTCATATCATTTCATGTCAAAGCATATTTCAGAAAGAAAGAAAGTATAAACATTTAACCCACAAACAACAGGTACCTCCATCCATGTCTCCTCAGGTTCACCAACTCCTCCCACTCGGCCTTGTCATTGGATTCAGGAGAAACGTCCCCCTCTCCTCTGGAGCGGCTCCTCTCCATGACTTTTCACAGTCCATTGCTCCGAACAGGACTCAGCGGTCATGGCCGGCACACTGCCCCAGCAGGGCTCCCCAAACTCCGGCTACAGCGCCAACAACGCCGCGGCTGTGCCAACTGTCACCCAGACAGACTCCAGGGACAAATGGAGTAAAAAGATGGACTTTCTTCTGTCTGTCATCGGTTTTGCGGTGGATTTGGGAAACGTTTGGAGATTTCCTTACATTTGCTATCAAAACGGAGGCGGTAAGACTGTTTTGCGATGTTATCCTCCCAAACACAATATTTAAACTACTTTTGATAAGTCAGTTACTTTTTAATATAATTTAAAAGTTACAATGATATTAATAATCATAATTAACATACGTGTTAAAAATCATAATCCATTTAAAACTACTTTATAAAAGACAACTAATGATGGGAACTGTCCATGGTGCCGACCGCGCGTTCTGAAAAAAGAAAAAAAAAACCTTCATAAAAACAACTTCACCTCCACTCTTTTTATTTTCAATTAAGCTATTTTTTTATCATATTGTAGGTCTGTCCGTGTTTTTTTTTTCTCTTGAAATTTAAAATGTCTATATACAAGAAAGAAAAAGCTTGACGCACTTGATTCTACAATGAAGGTTACATTTAGTAGAGCAATTTGAAGCAACTAAATGAACATAACTTGAAATGACATACGATAAAAAGTCATAAGTATTTTTCCAATTTTTTTGGTCACAATAAAAATGATTTTCAATGCAGGAAATTTAAATTTACTTGGGTTTTAATAAGCAACTTTTTATGGTTCTTCCTTTCTCTTTTTTCTTTCTTTGTTTCTTTTTTATTTTCTTTCTTTCTTTGTTTGTTTGTTTGTTTCTTTCTTTCTTTCT